AAATCCCAAAAGGTCATGTAGGCCCTACCTTTGTTTGAATTAGAAAGACTTTTCTGTGAACTTGACTGTAACCTTGTCTCTAGCAGGCAAGTTTGATGCATCTGATGGCGGCATTTCTTTGTAATTTACTCGCCAGCATTATGAATCGGTTGACTATAAAGGAAACAGGAAGCCGGGAAAATATACCCTGCCACCCCTGTGCTGAATAATGGAACGAGCCAGGCAAAAGTGCACTTGAACTGGTCACTCAATCAATCAATCCCAAGCAAATCCTTTTTTTTTTTTTGAATGTAGGCTTAGGCCATTAAAAAATTATGCTTTGGTTGCTCAGTCGCATCCAGGCTTGATTCGCAAAGAATCCCTCCTATTTTTTTTTATCTTGATGGCTTCGCTGTAAGACTTCACTGTTCCAAGTCAACATTTTTGGATGACTAATACATGGAAGGGCAAAATGTGTGGTTCCGCTGTGTAGATTAAGTGAAAAAAATGTTCAGAACGATGTCGCATTGAATTATGTCTTACATTCTCTCTCATTGAAGTTCATGCTCTTTATGTGAAGTTCCCCGACCGATTTTAAAATGGTGAATTATTTTTTCAATCAAGTAGATGCCCCCTTTCCAGTCACGGTTTTAAATAATCAGCCGCCTTTTTACATTAATTGGTAAATATACTGAATGCCAACAATGGAGGCTTCAATAACCAATTGATTTGTCGTGACGTTATGTTCACCAAGTACGGTCGTCTGTGTGTGCACGCATCCCATACCCTTCAAAGTTTTTGGCTTTGTGCATGTATTTCTGAGTTTTTTTTACAAGTTTTGACAATTTTTTTGGAAGCATGTTCTTGTACCATTTCCTTCATTTTCACAAAATGCTTTTGAATTTACGATTGTATTAAAGGATGCATACATGAAGTTTTCGATGGAACTAATTTTGTGCAAAATATCCATTCCTCCAAATGAAAACTATGAAACATCCCTTTTTTGGTAATTTGTGTGTGTGTAAAGTCCACATTTCTAAACTATATTTAGTTCCATGCTTTTCTAACAACTGAGGGCGCTGTTTCTGTGATGCCACATTAGCAACACATGCTTCAGATCAGGGTTTTATGTTCAAATTGTGAACCCAAGTTTTTGGTATTAAACTGACAAACATTTGTACATACATTTTGTTAGATTAGATTTTTTTATGTACATGTAGTTTTGTACTGATACAACAATGTATTACCAAAGCCCAAACAATTACTATTTCAAAATCCAATTGAAACTTTTGATGCTAGATCAGCTGCAACACTGAAGTTTCTGCCTATTAATAAAATGACATCATACTTTTGCTCATGAATGTGAAAATTTGCATAATTAGCATAAAAACTTTAAAGGCACTAAAATATCTTGAAATGGCAAAAAGAAAATTTAAAATAAAAGTAAATGAGACAAAAAGGTGCATTTCCACGGATTGCGTTAAAAACTTTGTATTACATGGGCCCTTAACCAAATGTGAAGAATGATAGTTTGATCAATTTATTGAGTAACTGAAAAATCAGCTTGATCCGGGAAAAGTTTATTTGGGGAGGATTTTGATCAATGTATGAAGGTAGCTGTTTAAGACTTGCTCTTAAAAAATATCTGTGCTGCCTCCTTTTCTACAAAATATTGCCCAAGAAATATTTCAACATGTCAAAATTATGAACAGCTCTTTCTTACAATTCACTTTGAAAAGAGGTCTCACGTGTCTCATATTTTCCTTGAGAAATATATATGTATGGTAGCTGTGGTTTTTAGACTATCAAACTGTCCTTTTTGAATTGACATGATTGATATTAAAGTAATGCAGTTATTCAAATATGTTTTAGTACAAGATGGCGTAATGGAATCATACTATTAAGTCATAAAAGACAACAATTCAAGCATGCACTATTTTGTTGCCGGTCATGTAATCTCAGTAGTGCTTCAACCCCCCCCCCAAAAAAAAAAATTCCATTTGAGTTTTATATATTTAAATTTGGCAGAACTTTATTCAGTTTTCAAATGATATGCAACCAACATTACCTATCCCTGCCTATATTTCAATGATAGTCATTCCAACCCATTTTGAAACAAATTTTAAAAATGCCCTTTTTTTGTGAGCTCAACACGATTGTGACGCACCCAATACATTTTTCACGCACATGCACATATTTCCAACGAGGTGACATTTCACAATTTTTTTATTCATGAAACGACAGTCAATTGTTTTATTCATGAAATGACAGATATGATACATGAGGCACATATCCTTTGGAAATCTTAAAAAAACTGGAAATCTTAAAAAAACTGGTGATTCTACACCCAAAATGGCTTCACAGACAGTCTACATGATAGGAATAGTCAATTTGTTATTCTGGTTCCGTGAGAACAATTTACAATCCACAAAATACACAGACTGAAACATGATTTTCAATCAATTTTTTTTCTTCATTGACGTGACCGTCCTTGATATATACTTTCCTGCACTCATACTGAACATGTATTTTTAGTTATGCCATGTGCCGTAACACTTATTGCAATGAAATTTAATCTACTAGATGTAAAATACAGACCGGTTGGAAATTATTTGCTTGCTGGCTATTGGAAGTAAAGTGCAGATCTGCAAGATATGATTTTATTCAGATGTTTGCGATGGTGAGTACATGTAGGAAACTCTTGACTGTATTGATGTTATATATTCATAATTGAAAATTAAAAGGTTTTTTGGTTCTCAGATTGAAAGATTTGAATATAACTGAAACTAACTAAAATATTTTTGGAAAAGACCAAAGAAATTGAGTTTCTGCTACAAAATATGTCTAAGCCTGTGATATGCCCAATGAAAACATAATTGTATACAGTGTGTATTTGTGTTTGATTCAAACATTTATTTTTCACATAAGATTCCATTTTCAGCCATTGATTTTTGATGTGTGTCACAACTTGTCGATGATCTCACAAGGTGATTAAAACCTCAATAATCGATAATTTTTCGAGTTTGAGTTTCACCAGCCTTTTTATTATATTGGTCTCAAGGAACAATTTCACCAAGTTCCAAAGCGAATTATTGTTACTTTCTTTATAATTATCATAAATAAACATTTGACAAAAAGCCGGAACTCTGTGTTTCTTATTTTTACATAGTGTAAAAAATGTAAAATGTTCATACGAAGTGAAAAATAGTCACCGCGTTAGCAGGGCCAGAGGGATCACACATTTGTCTACACAGGTCTATGATGGAAGCGTACACATGTCCGCGAACGATGATGAAGAGCGCTCAACTGTTGTAGGACTCACAAACAATTTCTCACATTAATTTGTGGTGGCGAAAAAAAATACCACAAAGTGACCAAAACTGTGCACAAAGTAATGGGGAAAATACTTAAGTCCTCTACATATTTATGTTCTCTCAAAATGCAAAAAAAAATTCAATGAATTACTGTTTAATTAAGAGAGATTTTTAACCAATGACTATGAATTTGCAAAGAGCAAAGCATAAGCTATTGATCGATGTGGAAATTTCTGATTTTTTACTGCAAAGTGGTCGACGATGTCTTGTGAAGAAAGGATCATCTTCAAATGTGATTATCTCGTCATGAACTTTTGCCAGATCTAGAGGTTTTGTCACTTTGTGAGATCATCCATGAGCTGATGCGTTTTTGAAGTGAAGATGATTTGAAATCACCCCCTCCTCCTTCCCGCGTTCCCCCCTCCCCGAGCCCCATTTATGACTGACCCTAACTGTCTCTCTGTTGTGTAGATGAAAAGACATTCAATCGATTCATTGCCGTAGTGCTGCACACTCATAATACAAATAAACAAAAATCATGGCTCAGCACTTCCTATTTTTATTGATTTACCTTGGACTGTATATGATGACATTGTAATACAATGTTATTCACATTGATTACAATGCTTGCTCATGCAAGTGTAGGGAGGATACAATGTAATACAGTGTACTACAATGTATGCATTCCATGTACAGTCAGGTGCTATTGGATAGTGCCTTCCCTGGTAGGGCAGTACTTAATTCTCCTGTTTACTACTCTAGTCATGTCCCTGTCGCCAGGGATTATTATGTGACTGTACTACAATGTAAAAATGTTGCATACATGTGTAGTGGCTTGCACCCAATACTGCATGTAGAGTTGCCAGTAGCATTTTTGCATGTCGATACTGCGAAATCCAAGTCATTTCTTTTTTCAAATTGCAAGAAGAGTTCCAATAATGTATCTGAAAACTTTGACACCAACAAAGATGTACTCCTTCCATTCCAAAGCTCTTGTTTAATAATTCTAAAATTCTAGAACTGAAATTTGTTTTCTTTGCTTATTTTGCATTCTGAAGAGAAAGGCTAGGTTGATTGACTTTTTTTCTTCACCCTATTTACGTGTAGTTGGTGATATTGGCTTGTATTTTTATCAAATTGATATACTCTTGGTTTATCTACGTGTTGTAAATGAAGATTCAATTTGGTCAGATGTATGCAGGGGTGCAAAGCAATATTTATTTCAGACCCCAAAATGAAACAAATTTGTCAGTTTGAATGCCTTGTAACTTAAAATCCTGCTACAAACATGTAAATAAAATCACTCAGTGGAACGGTTTCTCACGTACCGTTCACTTTTCATCACACCACACCATCTCACAGAGAATGGTTCATTTAAGAATCTTGGGCAAATTGTTGTCCCTTTTGACTTCAATGGCCCGGGGCAAATTTTGGAAACTGATTTCCTTTTAAAATTTCTTCAAAAGAAAATCAGAAATAAAAGAGGCCAGATCACACAAGGATTTCACATCCCAACACATGTGTGTTCCTGCAGTTCTGACTCAGCCCCTTCAGTCACATCAGTACAGTGTATATATTTATATGCAAATGAGTTCTCTTGGCCCTTGGCCACGATTGGTTGCAGCCGGTTGCAGCTGACCTCATCCCGACCCCTGGAGTCAGGATCCCCAAGCTGCGTGTGGTATTAATTCTGTCTATGTGGTGTGTGTCACTGTGTTGAGCGTGTAAGCTGGGGGACTTTTATTTTTGACATAATAAATAGTACCAGTGCACGGTATAGGGTGATATGTCGGTGAGTGTGTGTGTTTCTAGCATAGCCAGCGGAGTGGTACTGTATGCAGGCATAGACCCAATAGTGTGGGAAAGCTAAAAACCCCTGTGGTGTTTGCCCGGGCTCTGGATCGTGGCTATGATCATCCAAGGACAGAGGTTTATCCATGATTGAGAAGTGAAAAGGCCCCCTAGAACCCCATCAATGTGACATCATCCACGTTGGGTGTACTGTCTTCTCATGGTGTTTCTGCATGCAGGAGGACCAGTTACTCAAGTCCACTTCAGAGTCTTACCGTCTTCATGCATTCTTCAAACTTCTTGCCACGGTTAGTTTTACTGTTAGCGCTCGCTGTGCTCTGTGTGTCGCGGAGTCGCAGTCTATCATCAGCTGTTCCCACTCTGTAAGACCTCTGCGGTGTACCAAGCCTTAACGAGCCGAACTTCTAGGATTGGGCAGATCAGGAGTGCCCAAGTCGTTCCTCAGCCGACACACGCTGTGTGTTTGCTTAAACCAAACGTGACATTGCTTTTCAAGAGGAACGGTACTTTGACCCTGACCTTGACCTAGTGACACACCTTAGCGGGGTTGGAAGCTTGTTGGAGCCAGGCCGTTTGGTAAGTCTGTTCCACTCTGCAGAAGTCTAGGCGAGCATCACAGTCATAGTTTTAAACAACCATTCGTCACATTTGTCATTCTGGAAGCCAGCCTGTCTGCTAGCCTGCTGGCCAGTCTCGCTAAGTCTTTTTCATTGCCTCGTCCAACAGTCGACAGGACTAAACTTGTTATTCTGCACTCCAAGTGACTTTTCCCGCTTTCTCCTTCACCGGTCTGACTTCACGCTTGAAATCAGTCTACATTTTGCGCATCGCCACATTCATTTGCAGTCACAACTTCAGACAAGTGCATCTGTAGACACGTGCAAATTTTCACACAAGTTACTTGCCACTCATCCTCAGAAACGAAACATTCAGCACTAGTCGTACCGGTAGCATTTTCACAATCAGATCTTACGTCATCCAGAACGTTGAGGTTTTTTTTGGAGTGTTCCTGAAGCATTCCATTCCATCTTAGGAATCAGCTACATGAAGCTACATGTACCTTTTTACGCCTAGAACTTCAAAAGCATCGCTGAATCCCCAGGTAGGTAAAGAACAGCATTAGTTGTGCATGACCTTTCAACCAATAAAGACGACAGCATTTTCTACAAGTTCAAGGTCCCGATTATTACCCAACATTGAACACCGACAGACAGGACTAACACAGAAGTAAGAAGAGGAAGGACGGCCAGAAAATCCAGCGCCACAGATTTCGTGACTCTGCTCATGTTTGCAGCCTGAACCAGATACCTTACCCCTGGAGCACGAACTAATTATCTCTAGAGGAGGTCTCCTCTCCAACGATTACCCAGATTGCCCCCAAGCCAAAGAAGCATTACAGATCACCTGTGCATTGTTCAGAAGGAAAGCCACGGCGGACACGACTGCATACTGTGGCCATTTTGGAGCATTTTTAACTGTTTGACGGGTGCTTGAGAGATAGGTTAGTAAGACTCGGGGAAGGAACCGACGTGATCGAGGGAAGAAAAAAACTGGACGGAGAGAAATACATAACAGCAGGACTTCATATTGAGCTTGCGTCATCGACTGGGAGCCCCACTGTGGAGTGCCATGCATTAGTAGTCTCTGGCTAACCGAGGGAAGAACAGAGACTGTGGAATACGGTAAACAAGAGCCTCTTCAGCTGCAACCACATCTATATCAGGATTGCAGAAAGAGATTCGTGGTCGCACTGAATCCAGTGTGAACCAGACACCTTTATTACAAAAAAAAGTCAGGGCTCAAAACAGTTCTGTGACTGGTAATGTGATGACAAGTTGAATTCTGATAATAGCAACAACTGAACTTGAACGAGACAGTTTGACAAATTTTGAAGCGTCCTCAGAAACAGGACACATTTTTGAAGGGTCTACCCGACGCGGTCATTTCACTTTCACAATATTACCAAGAGTAGGACCGATGACAGTCGTTTAATCAGAGAACAGACGATATGTTGGCCTCTACATCACTGACGCAGCACATTAAAGGTCTAGCGATAGTTCACTCCAGCGGGAAGGCTATCCCTATTTCTATGGAGTACACCGTGCCGGCGTACATGCGCACCGGCGGTCCCGCCAGTGGGGCTAGTTCCAGCAGCGACGAATATGGTCAAGACATGGACACTTCCGATCCCAACGGTAAGTTCCACGAACTCTGTTCCAACAATTGCTTGACGTTATCCATTCTATCTGTAAAATCATGCTGACTCAATTAAGAAGTTGAAAGCAGATTTTGCTCCCAAATATGCTGCAGAAAAACCGCAGTGAACGCCATTTTGGCTGTTCAAACCAAATTCTTCATATTTTTGGCTTTAGTGGCTGATGGTGCCGCATAATGTCACTCAAGTCATGTTTTAAACCTTCATTTATAAATACCTGAAACAGTTTACCAATTCCTATTGGTCGAGGGCCCGTCACGTACCGGTAGGTGGTTTTAAACCGCTGGTAAAACACCGAGCTGCGTTCTGCGCCAATTTCCATAAAAGGAGATTTGGCACTCTGCGCACGCGAGGCACATACCATAGCATGGCCAGAGGGGTATTTCCAAAACATGAAGTAAAATTGTTGAACAAAATCATTGAATTTTGTTTTGACTTTTTGACCGAACAGTGTTTATGAATGGCGAGGGGCATTTAAAAATGGCGAGGGGCGTGGATGGGGATGCTGGCCCTCACTTTCGGCTCGGGGCATTATCCACATCCAGGACCCTAGTAGCTGGTTTTAAAAGTACTTGTTTAAAGGGAAAATACAACATTTGCAAACATCAAAAAATAAAACTACCAAATCATTTTGAAATACCTTGCTGGACTGTTAGTGAATGACAGTGTAAAGCATCCTGATCAATCATGGCACCTGGTATACTGTCATTTTCAAGAAAAGTGGTATTTTTGTATCAATTTCCAACGCTGGTCGGCCGACCAGCGTTGGAAAAAACTGGCTTTTTTCAAATACTGGCCTCAATTGACCATCGCACTTGTTTGCAATCGATTACACACCTATGAACGGGTACAAGCCAGCTAGACTGGTTCCCTGACCTTACAATTCCCCAATGTATGTAAACTGCTCTGTTTCTTCTTATATGGAGTCAGGGAACCAGACTACAGGCAAATGATTGTTTTTCTTGGTTTTTATAGCATTTTCGAACCCAAAACCTCAAAAAAGTCAGTGTAACTATATTTGCTATATATTTCCAACCCCCCAATTCCATCCATTTCTGAAAATTACAGCAAAAGCAAATGATGTATATTCCCTTTAAAACTGTCCAAGCACATATTTATTCCCTTATTTAGAGAATAAATTAGACACAGAAACTGCTCATACAAATGAACTACATGTAGTTCAATCATTTTTTAGCTGTCACAAGCACGTTCTTTCACTACCTTAGAATATACTTTGCATTTACAGTTCAAAATGTGACTGAGCACGTCCATGTTTGTTTTGAGAAATGTGGCAAAAGGTCGGCAACTGTTCGATGTTCAACTGTAATTTCATCCTCTGATGTTGCAGTGATGAGTTTACTGTTGAGAAATTACTGTGACCAAGCCCACAATAGCTTTTGGCTTGTTAAATATTTGACAGTCACTGGCTGGTAGTCCTGCACAAGATATAAGGCGATATTTTCAGGCTTACGGTTACATGCCGTTTACATTGCAGTGATGCGTTATTCTCATAAACATTAACATTTAACATTGATTATTCTCATATACATTTGTAAACAGGGCTGATGTAAGATTTGTGGAAATCAACGGAAAAATACCCACAGGGGTTCAGTGAGCTTGCACTGAACTGTTTCTCAATTCAACAACCCCCCATCCACCCATCCATCCAACCGACAATTCATCAACATTCAATAAATCCACCGTCCGCCAGTAATTAATTTCTATCCCCTCTCACATCCCCCAAAACCCTCCATCAAATGTGAAGTGCACTACCAAACCCCCTAATACACGCTATGACAACAATCATAAGCCCCTCGGGTGCGTCGAGCAAGGCTGGGGAACGGCAATATATGAAGAAGAAAAAAATCCATCTTCCCCTAGCCTGAATTCCTATAATCCTATTAAGAAAAACCCCCCTTCTTAGTCCCCCCTCCTGAGTCTCCGCCCACGCTAATCAAATGTTCCTGACCTCATATGCCCTAGTGTTTTCATTCGGTAACCTTGAGTACACCCGCTTTTGAATATTATGCAGCGCCATACATAGCGCTCTACTTAAATCACAACTGGTGTTTTTCTGTATTTTTTCACCAGAATAAAGAGAGAAAAGAAACGTGCATATAATATATATTTATATAATCTGTACCTCGGAACGGGTAAAAAGCTTAAGTGTTGTTCTTATGGCGCTGTTTTTCCCTTTTTTCTGTCTTTTTTCTCCGCCGTTGTGATCGTGCATGAGGGGCCGAGCTAGCGGATTACTTCCGCGCGGCAGGCCTTGAATAGAAATTGGCCTTTTTGTCGTCAGTCTCCTGATGTTGTCGGACAGAACTAGAATGCCATTGTGACCGCTGTTTTGTAAGGGACTTTTTTTTCAAGGGGTGAGACGGAAAGAAAAATGGACGGGTTTGGACAAAGAGTTGGTTTTAAAAGAACCTTTGGTTTATCGTGTTACATGTAAACATGTTTGGCCTGTTGTGTTGGGTCCCTTGTATAATGTTAACTTCCATGTGGGTTGTTCGGCAGTGCACTATTTCCTTAGGGTTTTGACCCCCTTACACTCGGAACATGCACACATGCATGCGCAAAGCCACCCACAGTTGAACTCAACTTGTACAAATATTTCTTCAAAGGTACATATTTTTTTTTCTTGAAAATCAAGCGAACTCAAACCGGTGACTAACTGTGCAGAATTTTATGCCAACTTGCAAAGTACATATTTGTTAGGCTTGTTGCCTAATACATCTGGCTGTTTCAAAAATTAAAAATCTATTTTTGCTGATGAGTTGAGTCACAATTTTTGGCATTTTGTCTCTCCACACAAAAGAACAAGAACTGTTAACTTTTTAAAATGGGATTGTTTTCTTAATCTTACCTTGTATGGATTTTTGTTTACTTGATATTTACATTTATTGACAAAGTAATCAAAAAGATATTTTTAAAGCCAAGCTGTATGACCGTCTGACATTTCAAAATATTCAGTCAACCTTGCTTTCCAATATCGAACTGGTAAAATGTTTCCTCTCCAGGTGTTTTTTTTTCTCGATGTTTTTCCTGGTGGATCACAAGTTTTCTAAGATTATTTCACTTCAGGTATCCCAGAAAAAAAATTAGTAAATAAAAAAGACAGAAATGTGGGATGACTGCCCAACGCACCAACCCCCTCGGACGAATTACAACCTGCCCATGTCCTAATAAAATAAATTCTGCCTGTATGCTCCAGAAATTCAACCGTAAATTTTGTTTTGTCGGGAAAGCTCATCTTGATGTCTTTTCTCCCGAATTTTTTCCCCTTCCAATCTCTCTCTTTACTTCCCCACGTCCGCGCTCACAGCAGGGGGAGCGCAATAATAATATTATCGGGTTGTGACATCAATGTTTGTCCCAAGCCGGCAGGTTTGCGATGAACGCCGCGCTTGATCGGCGCGCCATGAAAGCCTGAGACGGAGGGAAGAGTTGAAGCCATTATCGGGTTGAATGCAACGCGCCCGAGTTCATTCCACAAAACGCCGCTGATTTAATAACTCCAATCAAATCACTGAACTGTTTTTCTTCCCTCACCAGCAATGGCACTTTCTTACACCCCCCCCCCCCCCATTGTACGGTCAACTGCATTTTCTTCGTCTGATTACTTCATCTAGTTTTAATTTTCTTTGAAAATTCTTTCATCTTCGCATCCTCTCTGCTATCATCTTGACTATCTTTCCTCCAACATGCATTCTCTTTCCCCATTCTTCCGTGTTTTTGTCCCCCACACAATCAGAATTGATTTATGTCCCATCTTTTTATTGCTCTGCGCTTTTGTCGTTGTTAGTTCATTCGTGGAAATTGAATTCAGAAGCGGAAAAATAGTTATGCTGTAAATTGAAATGTCAAAGCTTGACGGGAGACGAACACATAGTACTGTGTTTGTTTTGTTGTATATCTCACTATGACTAAATATGATTTTGGTTTAAAAAACAACAACAAAGATCTACATGTAGAATGACGTCATTTGAATTCTGTTGAAAGAATTGAAGCCATTCTGGATTATTCCGTACAACTAGACAAAAAGCGAAAGTGAGTGCATGAAAGGACAAAGTTTACATAAAAATAGACTAGGAAATGAAGGAAAAACACTTCAGGTTACAGATAGGCGTTGTCTATTTGTGCATGTGTATGTCACTTCACAGATTTCCTGATTGAAAAAATAATCACTAGCTTTGCCAGGTACATTGTAAATACAAGGTCAGAGAACGAAATGTCTTCCCCTGATTTATTCTTAGCGTGTAAATTTAGAAAAGCGATATTTTCTTCTTTGTACATATATGTAAGCCGTGTGACATTGAGCCTTGCATTAGGCCAGGAAGAGAAGATTTGTAAACCTTGATATTTTTTTATCATCGTGTAAAAAAGAAACTCTGTGAGGTCAGCCGTTACTAAGTCCATGGCGATGAGTATTCGTCGAGCATTGCCGATCATCAACGCCTTCTTGAAAACTTGAATTTCAGGCTCTGTTACCCTCCGTCACCTGCGATATGTGCGTCTGGGCGAGCATCCTGTCGCCCGTTCGGCCGTCCGTGTGTGTGTATGCGTGCGTCAGCCGCATTAAGCTCCATTCACGAATTGTGTTTTTGGGAATAAATTATCCAACCAACACCTGCCTCTGTTCCTAACATGTACCTCTTTTTTTGGAGGGATTTGTGGAAATAAGAAAGTGCGGCTTATTTCTTGTTGGACCAGGATCATTGTTGAAGGCGGGCCGGGCCTATTCAGCGTACGGGGACCGCGGTTGTTCTTTTTGTTGGACCATAAAAGAAATTAATCCATAGGTGCTACCTGTGTGCATTGAATGGACATGTTAATCTTCATTTACACTTGTAAATTTCCACTTCACAGGATGCAAACGCTTGGTGAAAATATTAGTTGACCAATGTTAGTGCTACTCACCTTTCCATTTGAAAAACCAAGTAATTTGATAAAAAAAATTATATTTTAACTTGCCAT